AACATCATCTCAAACGAAGGGTCTCTTCAGCAAAGGAAACTTGTAAGGACCAGTTGGTTCTTCATGCATGGAGTAATTATACTACCTTGAGAAGATGGCATAATCTAACTAATAATGAATACTTTGACGGGAGACTAAGTATTCATTAGGATCTTGGATAAAGATACATATAAGCACCTTGATGGGAGACTAAGTGTTTGTATAATATGCATGCAAGGCTGTATTCTGAACCTATTTCTCAGAACTTGGTAGAGAGTTTATTCTGGTGAGTAATTATTGCTGAAGATGAAGATCATACCTTTCTTATGGGGAATATAAAAGGGCATCAATCCCCTGGATGTTAACTTCAGAACCCAAGCAGATAGGTTCATGCTGTAACATCATTATTGTTAGAAGTCAGTGGCAGAGACTTGGGTCTGTGAATCTTAATATTCTATTGCCTCATTCAGAAGTGGCAGTTCTATTGTTGGTTTGGAATAAGTAGATTCTACTTGTGTTTAAAAGTAGTATGCTTAACAATGCATAACTACTGTTGTGGTCTGAAGAACTTACTAGTATTAGCAACTACTAGTAAATATATTATACATGATCAAAGGATAATCCTTCTAGAAAGTCTGAATCTTAGTAAAGCTTGTAAGCACACTAAGAAGGTTGGAGGTTGGTTTCAGACTATGGCTACATGATTTCTCAGCCATCCAAAGAGTCATGATAACTGTGGAAGTGCAAGGACATGAATCAGAGATATCCTTACTATTCTACGACTAGTTCAGGGTGCTTGAAGTTACTACCTCAGAGCTAGTGCTACTGGTTTCCACGCTACGGTTTTGATTGGCCTTAACAAGGGGAGTCACTGAGAGTTGCACTTTCCCCAATTACAATATACATTAAAGGGAGACTTTGTATGTATTGTTGAACTTGATCTGAAGATCAGAAGTCAGAAGAGGACGGTTGTATACTGATGTTTATGTGTTCTGATAATATGACATTGTGAACTTCTAAGTGAAGTCATGAATAATGTCTCAACATCAGGAGATTGAAGAATTGCTCTTGTTATCTGTCTGGGTTCAGGAAGAAAATCTCAGAGATTCTTAAAAATCTCATAAGTGGCAGTTTTGATACTTTGAAGCAATTTGGAAGATTCAGATCTTATCAATAACAACTTGGTCTGGCAAATCAGAAATGCTTTAGCTACTACTAGTGAATGGTAGATCAGAAGAAGTAAATCAGATTAAGAAATCTGATATATTCAGCATATGTTCAAAGAGTTCTTTTTACTACAAGAAATAGAAGTGGGATCTAAATTCTGTGTATTAGAACTAATCTGTGATGTCTTGTGAAGCATTTTGGAATCTTCTGGTTTTTTCCCTCCTTTCTTTGCTAGCTGTTTAAAGGGTCCTTTTCTCTGCCTACCTAAGAGAAGTAAAAAGAAGGCAGCTGTTGTTGAAGAATGTAAAGTAATGTCTAAGTAAGTGTCATGACATTACCAACGACATTGCAACCTTGGGAAAATCAAGAAGAATACGTGGAAAATAACTTCACCACGTAATGGTAGCTATTCAGGAGCTATATTTGGTGTTCTGTTTCCCAGAAGGAATAAATCTTCAGCCTTAAAAGTCAGTCAAAGGCTGATTTTATTCAGGAATTGCTTTGACCCAAACCTATGCATGTATTAGGACTGGTTCGTTTGGCAGAAACAAACAAATGCATGCACAGTCAGTCTGAAATATGCACATGCTTTAACAGGTATCCTTGACCAAGATTTTATATTACCATCGTCTTGAACCGGGTATCCCCTTATATAACCTCCTGTCACACATTCTTTTCTCTCACAACCATCATGGGGTTTATACGGATTTGGGAAAACTGTTCTTGGATCTGGTTTTGTGAGGGCTTTCTTTGGCAATTTTTGGCCAAAAAGGGGGAGAAAGGAGTACTGTTAGAAACTGTCCTCGTTGCAGCAGCTACTACTCAAAATTTTGATCACAAAGACTTGTCACAAACTCAGCAGAAATTCAAATGGCGTGAATTTCCTTGTGACTTGTGATCTGAGTTATGAACACAGTTGTGACCTGTGTTCTGAGTTACAAGGGAGATATTCTGGGCACTCCTTAAAGGTTCTCTGATGCCTCTGAAAGGATAGTTTATCTCCCACGGTCCTCTTTTTCCACCATCAGTGACAAGAAATGGTTCGTGGTCTAAAAGGGAATAAGGTGCATCCTCTTCCTCCTGTGCCACAAGAGGTCCTGAATGGTGAGTATTATTGTTGTATTTGTTTTAGCCAAAATTAGCCAAAGGGGGAGATTGTAAGTGTCTTTGTTTGGGATTGGCTCATCTCTTGTAAAACAAATAGCAACAATAATGTAATGTAATGTACAATAGGAACAGCCTGAAAATTCTATTGTAAATGCCTAAATATGCTCTGGAACAACATGTCTCAAGAGATGTCACAACATCATACCAGACATCAAACTACTGAACTGTCAAGACTGATGCAGTTCTGTTCCTAAAGTTATGCAGAATATTCTGCCAAATAAAATGCATAACAAGTAGCGAAAATTGAAGGCATACGTGGAGCCCTAAAAGATTCAATCAGAAGCTAAGGATAAGGAGAAAAGCTCGATTGAAGACCTAACTTGTAGCAGAAGTTTTCTGCTTATTTTATGCAGGTTGTTAGAGCTGCATTGCTGTTATGTGAAGGCCCAAATCCAGCTGGGTAAAGAGGGTTATAAATAGAAGCATTGTAACCTAATTTAAGCGGGTTCGCTGATTGACAAGATGTAATTACTTAGGGCTAGTTGTGAACCACCCGGGCTGTGGGATGGTCACCATACTCCTTGAAACCTGTAGGTAAAAGGATGTATGCATTGTACTTGACTGAAGCTTTTAAGCATGATCAAGATGTGTAATGGAAGTGTATCTTCTGAACAGTATGTGTACTGTAGAAAGTTATCACTGTGGTGATTGAGGGGGAGTGAGAGGGGTCTCATATCTAGGATTGGATCTTAGGTAAAAGTGTCATTGGGTAGTGATTAAGTGAGAAGGCTGTCAACGGGTATGTTGGCTGTAGGGTCTTTGAATTGATACTACTAATAGTGAACTTTATCCCTGGCTTGGAAGCCCCCAGATGTAGGTTGGTTGAACCGAACTGGGTGAACAATTCTGTGTGTTATTTACCTTCTGCATTGGTTATGTGTTTGATGTTACAGCATTCCTCGTGACATCAATGTATTTGATTAACCTTAACTGTTCTGAACTTCAGTAAATCAGAACCTGCGTTTGTCAAAAGGTGTTGCAGGCTCTGGTATGATAGTCCAGTGACTGTTGTAGAACAGATATCAAAAGTACAGCCTATTCTACCTGTACAGTGCTTAATGTCAGATCAGATGTCTTAACATTCCATTAGACATCCTGAGTCTGTGACATACCAGGAATTTCAATTGTTGTTTGTGACTAGTTTACCACTTCTAAGTCTCATGAAACGAAGTAAAATACAAGAAAATGATGAAGATTTTCAAAAACTTTTCACAAGAACAAAAATATTTGTTAATTGAACACTGGTCCCACTGGACGTACCAATTTGTTTACCGTGAAAATTGGTAAACAAGCGCTAGTCTTCTAAAAGCAACAAAGAGTCTTTAGTTATTCACATGATTGACTAAATTGATCCTAGAACATGTGTTCTAATTCAACTTCTTGTTCTTGAAAAGAAGAATACTTCTACAACATTCATAGTTCTTTGAAAAGATTGGTTTCGATTTAGATAAATTTCTAAAGTAAATTTTGTGAAACTTGTAAATAAAATACAATAAAACTACTAAAAGTAAATTGTTAAAATAGATTTCTGGAATGATAAACTTTATTGAAATAAAAAGGTGTTTACACTTACATTTCTCAGATGACTCTTTTCTCAATACGCAAATACTTTGAGTTTTGTGAGATTTTATATAAATGAATGAACACACCCAATCTTATCACTAAGACCCCCTATATATACTAATTCGACCCTAACGGCCCTTCTACATCTAGATGTCATGTTCGCGACATGCAGACTCTTCGAATTAATAGACCTCCACGCGTCTTTTGGATAAGATTAAAGACTTGAATTTCAAATTCTTCTATCTGCGAAGAGTGCCAAAACTTCAACAAGACTATTCGACTTCAAACTTAAATACTTCGAATTCTTCAACACATAATCCTCTTTAAGTATTTGATCTTCGACCGTTCATCCAGAAATAATCATTCGAACCACTTAACAAACAGTCAGTCGAAATCTCCATCAAATATCTTTCTCAAAAATAACTTAGTCTTCAATTTTTGATCTTTTATATTCTATTATTGAAATTTCTAACTAACACATTCATCATCATATATCATTCATCTGTACATATATTTCATCTGCATAATAAAGTTTTTTTATTCAATTTGCACTAACATTAATTCTGCATCATATTTTATCATGTGCATTAAAAGTTTATTTTGCGTTAAAACTTATTTTTGTGCATTTAATTTATCATACATTAAAACTTTTTAAATTTTCAAATTTTCAAAATTATGATTCATGATTCGAATCATACATTTCATGACTCAAATCAAATATTATAAAAACTCTCTTATTTAGTCTCTACTGCCTGATTGGAACACACCATGTTTTGATTCGAATCAGAAGAAGCCCTAAATAAATAATATGCTTTTGATTCAAATCACACAAAGCCTGACTTGAATAAAACACCAAAAGTTGCATTTTGATTCAAATCACTGTACCTCTTATTGAATCGTCCATTAAAATTCCAAATTTTCTGAAAGTGTGTGCCTTTTCATTTTGCATCATTAAATATCATTTCAACTTCATTATTTCTACACACGTACCACTTATCTCACTCATTCATCTTAAACACATTTTATTTTCATTTCATCTTATTCCAATTCATAAACCCATTTCTCCATTCATCTCACTTCATCATCAAACATCCATCCTCATCTTTTAACAAGTATCAACCATCATGGATCATTTATTTGAGAAGCAAAAATGGAAGCGAAAAATTTCAACACATCCTCCGGAAATACCTAAAGGAAAGCGTACCAAAATGAGAGCCCACAAAGAATATCCTAGACATCGCTTCAAGATTATTATTATAGATAAGCCATCAAATATCTCTGGTTCTTCTTTTGGTCCCTCATCTAAATCCCAAGGAAATGACAAGACTTCACAAGGCTATGTTCCTTGGAAGGTTGTATATTCATCTACTCCACCACCTGCTAGTTTAAATGCTTTGCCTTCTACTGTGAAGGCATATTTGGATATTTGTATCGATGGGATCATGTATGTTGCTCAAGTGAGAGAAGAACGCCTAATGGCTCAATTTGATGTAGATGTTGTTGAAGCAAGGGCAAGGGAAGATTTTATGATGGCTCGGCTTGCAAAATTATCAAGGAAGCTCTTGTTGTATAAAAGGGTTCGAGCTTTGATTTGGATTTTGACAATTTCACTGCCCCTCTTGACCCATGTCCATCCAACCTGCCATAGTGAAGAATTCATTTCGTCATCATCATTACATCATATTTTGACTTTTATATATCTTTTCTCTGGGATATTATCATTTTTTCTATTTTAGATATTTTTACTGGTTAAGTCTTATTGGTGGATAATACTCTTTATTGTATGTTTTTGGCCGTTTATGTTTATTTTGATGATGATATTATGTTTTTAGTTTATTATCTCTTCTTATCTTCCGAAGTGTCTGAAATTGCATTACATATGTGTTTGTGTTTGTATTTGATTTTTTGTTTTTCTTAATAGTTTACTTTTGTATGGAATTTATAATTGGTATTTGATGTTATCATGAGTTCATTTGTTTGGGTGTTATCTATTTTTGTCTTTGTTTTTTTTATATTTTTTTTATATTTGTCAAAGAGAGAAGGTTGCAAGATATTATCAAGGTATTTACACGCATTAAGTGTTTAATGCAATGAGACTTTAGAGTTTAAGAGATGTTCACAAGTTCCAAACAAGTGTTGTATCATTTTTTGTGAGCTAATCAATAAATCTGGATTCAACTTGATCATTCAACTTGTACTCAAATAATCTACTCAAATCAAATCAGACTAGTAATATCTCAAATTTGCCAAACATCAAAAAGGGAGAGACTGAAATTACAGTATGTATCATTTTATTTTGATGTTCTGTTTAATTTTGAGATGTATGTGTAATTTGATTTATCGCTTATTTTTAATTCATTTGTAATTTGTTTATTTCTATTATTTGATTAGTTGTCTACCTTTGAGATACCTTTACATTTAATAAAGTAGTTTTGGACCCATGTGTTTATCGTGGGAATTGGTAAACAACCGCTGATCTTCCAAAAGGTTACTTATTTGGTGACTCGCAAGATCGATCAGATTGATCCTAAGACATGGTTGATTTTGGGGTTTTGACTAAGTTTGATAATGATTAAATGACAAGAGAATAAAGAAGCTTTATGTAAATTGCATGAAGAAGAAAACTTGATAGAATAAAGAAAGACTTGAAATGAAAGGCTTCGACTGGAAAAGTAAATGAGAAAGCAAGTAAAGTTTCTGGAAAGTAAATGACTTTGATTAATTAAAGTGGTGTTTCACACATACATTCTCAACAATTCTTTCTCTCACGCTGGGTACTCGAATCTATATGAGTGACTTGTATATAATTGTGAACACACGCGAAAAACTGCGTGAACTACTAATATTTATACTAAACACATCCCAAATAACCGTCGGGCAGTTACGCTGCTTCGAGATGACTCCACTTGGCACGTTCACAGCGTTCGACGCTCCAGATCTTGGCACGTTACACTTGGTAACCGCTGGGAACCGTTTCCCTCCAAACGTTTGAATCTCAAACCGTTCCACTCTGAACAATCGAACACCTTCGTCGAGAAGCACCTTCGACGTCGAAGGCAACAAGATTCCTACTTAGAAGAAATTCTCTAAGTACATTGTCATCTTTTGATGAGCATTTCGACAGACCCAGCTGGTCGAAACCATCCTTCAGCTTTAATGGCTTATATTAATAAAAACAAGGGTGTCGAATTTAGGAGCCAACAAATTGCCCCCCAAGAATGCCTTATTTCGACGCTGAAAAGAAAAAGGCATTCTTTGAGATTCCATTCGACACCTGTCTTTCATCCTTAGCCACAAATTAACCTGCGCACTTTTTGTCTTCTACCAACCACTGACAATCCCAAGAAAAAACCATCATTTCATCCGTACCTAAGACGTCACCTCAGTACGGCGTTTAGCGTGCCCAATGTCTTTTCACAAATTGTCATCATGACAATTTCCCAAAAATGAGGGCGCACGCTGCACCTTTTCATCTCTGCAGAACGACTATATCAACGGGGGGACGCCACGTGTCCCACTAACTTCTGCAACATTAAATGGCCTCGAATTTGGGGATTTCCCAACCACTATAAATAGCGCCAAGTACCCATTGTGGGATTTTTTCACGCTATCCTGCATTCAAACTTCCTTGTTGAACACAAAATCTCTGCAAACTTGCAAACACTTTTTTCCTCACTTCATCTTCAACCTTAACTCAACAATGGCCTCAGGTTCCTCCAACGCTCCTAGTGCTAACATCCCTTTCAGAAATGCTAAACCCAAGATCTTCTCAACTGTCCCCATAGTTACCCCTACAGGCCAACGAAGGGTTCCTGAACCCCTAGAAACTGCTGAACGTGAAGCTTATTCACACCAACTAATGATTCCGGTTGGATACTCCAACCAAATCTTCGCCATGTCTGGCCCGCTAACCCCATGCATCGATGAAGCCATGAAGATCAAAAGCTTCTTTCCAGTGCTTGAAAAGCTCAAACCTGTTGGGTGTTCTAAAAAAGATGCAGAGGACAACGAAGATCCCGCTAAGGAGATAGATCTTCGCTTCTTCAATAGGGGTGTTAGGGCTTTCAGGTCTAGCCCTAGCCTCACACCTGACTACAGCGCTTGGCTGGAGAAGATGGAAAAAAGCCAGACTTCGATCTGGAAGAACTTGGGGATATACGACCTAGTCATGCTGTCGAAGACGGGTCTCAACTACTCCCCTGAGATGCTAATAGCCTCCTTGATTTTCTGGGATTACACTCATTTCACTTTCCACCTTCCTTGTGGAATGCTAACACCCACGCTTTTCGATGTGGCTGCCATCACTGGCCTTCGACCCACTGGGGATTATTTCGACCCAGAGGAAATGTCGGAGGATCAGATTGGATTCTCATCTACGAAACCCACCTATACCACCTATATCAACCATTACCATGATAAGTCGACAGCCACTGTGACGGATGTAGAGCATATCGCGTTTCTAGCCCTTTGGCTGTCACGCTTTGTGTTCTGTACAAAGTCTTTACAGGTGACAAATAAGATGGTCACCCTCGCCACCCAACTTCACCATGGCCAAAATATTTGTTTGGCAGAATTAATCTTGGCGAATCTGTACGAGTCGATCAGCAGCGGAGCGACTCTGTTGAAGATCATCGAGAATAGAGCCAGTCTGTTGCTTGCGGGACCTTTTTGGCTACTCCAGCTGTGGCTCAATGCCACTTTAGAGACTTTCTTACCTCAGAAGACTCAAATAAATGAGCAAGCTCCTGAGATAGCAAATAGGCGTATCGAAGGCACCAGATTAGCTCTACTGACCCCGACTGAAGATGGGCTGGAGCTTCAACAGACTTTTGCAAACTTTGTCTTGATGTTTGCAAGAAGAAAAGAATTCGCTTCGACCATGGCTCCCTTCGCTCGACGAAAGGTTGGTCTAGAATGGTTCACGAGGCCCCATCCTAAGTCGTCAGGTGACCCTCAGGTCGAAGAACACCCAATAATGTGGGAAGCATTTCTCACACCTAGAATAATGCCACTGCGCTTTAAAAGCTCCAAGACTCACTTGAGCTTGATCGCGTATCAACCAAACTTGGTCTCTCGACAGTTTGGTATCATTCAATCACTTCCTTCTCCTATTTTTCCTAGGGAGAAATCCATGTTATACTTTTGCAATGACTATACTGAAGATGCTGCCACCAAGCATATTGGTAGGTATGCAGGTCGAACAGTCCTTTCACTGTTCGACTATCAACTTAACTTTCTCTGTTCACCATCCTTCGAAGACTGGTGGAAGAGTTACTACGCTGAAGAGTTCTTCGACGAGAAAGACTTTGTGGATGAACTTCAGAAGTCTTTCGTTCTAGTCCTGGACAAAATAAAGAAATGTAAGTTCATTCTCCAAATTATTTTGTCTTTCCATTTCGACTGGTAGCCTGTTAATTATAACTTGTCTTTTTCCAGTTGTTCGAAAGCCTGCAGCCAAGAAAGCTGCAGAAGGCCATCAGGGAGGAGGTCCCTTGACAAAACCTCCACCACCGGCGAAAACTATAGCACCGGCGAAAACTACAACAGGCCATCAGGGGGAAGGTCCTTCGAAAAAACCTTCAGCACCGGTAACCGGACTTTTATTATTTTCTTCTGGTTTTAACATCCTGACTTTCGATGTAGTGTTCTAAATCGAACTCCAACTGGTTTTTAGGCACCTTCACCCAAGAAACGACCTGCACTGACGGTCGAATCTGGGAGTGATGAAGAAGACGACTCTCCCCCCGCTCCTCTAAAAAGGCGAAAACTGAAGAAAGATGTTCCTTCTCCTGAGACTCGACCCACAATCAGAATAAAGGTTGCTTGGAGAAAACCTAGGCCACCTCCAGTAATTATTGAAGAGCCAACGGAGGAGGAACTAAATGTTTTGCTCAATAAACCCGTCGAAAGCGACAATTCCAGCCCTGGGGCTGAAGTTCCTCTGCAGGTAATTTCTTTGACCTTTTTTAACTCAGGTGTCGATGCTCACGTTCGATTGTGTCTCTTTCTAACCTAGAAGATTCTTCTTCTTCTTTTTTCAGGAAACCACTGAAAGCTCAGCGCCAAGGACTTCTGAAACACTAGACTCTGCTGAACTCAGTAGGCCACAAGAGAAGGAATTGGCGAACGATGAGGCCAATGCTGAAACAGAAGAACAACAACCAAAGGAGATTCAAGTGGTCGATCTGTCGGAGGAACAACATGATGAAGGGGATCACGCTGATGCTGGCACTGCTGAAGTTCAAGTCGAAGAGAGTCACGTCGATGCAAACGCTACTCAACAACTTCAACCTCAAGACAACGCTGCTGCAAAGGTTACCACCTCGACAAAGCATAGGTCCAAAGAAGACTTAGCACTCTTGAAGCAAACTGATCCCATTGGCTATCTGAATGCCATTATCGAGAGTAAGGGAAGTTCGTCTGACATTAGTCAAGAGGCTTCTACTCAGTCGGGGAAGTCCACTGAGACTTCTCCTCTCGATGAGGCTTTGACGAAGGTCAAGGCTCAGTTCTTCAAGAAAGATTTGATGAAAGCTTTGGAGGGGGACCCTACTGCTCCGTCGTGTTTGGGAGCTGTTTTGAATGCAGTCGACTTGCTCGCTGTGACTCCAGAGGTTTCGAGCTTTATCATGGAGTTATACTCCATTATTGATCAAGTCTCAGCAGACTATCGGCGTCAGAGGGGCTTCAATAGCCAGCTCGAAGCGTTATATGGCAAAAGTTCTTCTGCCTGGAC